TTCACACTTTCAGTGTAATTAAATTGGCATAGCACCGACAGCTTCATCAAGACTAGACTTATCATCAGACTTGAAGCTAAGATACAATTGCGTATCATCGGCAAAGCAATGCACACTAGGAAGATGTTTCTTTATGATAGCGAATAGCTTTGATGCATAAACTATGAATAATAAAGGTCCAAGGCAAGAGCCCTGTGGAACGCCACAGTCCAATTCAAAATAATTGGACAGAGTACCATGTATAAGTTTGTGGATAATCTGATTTGCAAGTTTGTGGATAATCTGATTTGCAAAACCAGTCAGAACCTGTTTTAAACACGTTTTTATGCACACGCATCCTATTTAGCTATATTGTTGGCCGAGTACTACCGGGAACTAATTTGTTTCTAAGCAACAGGCCGCGCATGCTCGAAGAAGATTTAACAGGCCGAGCACAGAGGACTTTATTTTTACGTGGACCGTAGGGGAAGTTTACAAATAAACACCTCTGCCAGCAGGGTATTATTGTGTTGACTAAATTTTTTTTTCCATGGTCGGCTAAGAGGTTTTATTACACGACTCGGGCAGTCAGAGGGCCAATAACTAAAAAAATGGAGTCAGAATTATGAGTTTACTCGTATACCTTGGGAAAAGGTAGGCTTGAATTTGAGTATTTCTTTTTCGTAACAATGGACGCTTTAACCGATGCAGGCTGCATTTCCAACTACGCAGCGAAAGAATATCCCATTCTTAGACAGCTATTTTGGAAAAAGAATCTTTTCCCATGCATTTCCTTATACTGTTTCGCCACCATTTTGCTTGTAACACGAGAACCGTCTCCGCCATGATATTGTCCCAAATTTTTGGCAATGCATAAGCAGAATTTGCCAAAGAGGTCATGAAATGTCACCGAAGGTGACTTTAAGTTTTCCTGTTGGTGCTGTGTGTTCCTTCGGTTGAGGATAGTTCAGATGACAATCACTGACCAAAGGTGGTGAACCTGACGGGATTTTGTCAACAGAGTCAAATGGAGAGATCTTTTGTAATTTGCTAGTGTCAAAGCTGACAATTCAAGCGTTACCCCTTCGTCATTTGCTGCGATGAAGGACTAACGCTCGAAACGTCAATTTTGAAACTCATTGCGGTGGTCAATTTACATTATCAACTCTATTGATAAAAACAAAATTACCTTGTTACTCGCACCAACGCACTTGGTTGGTACCAGTCTTGGCTGTAAGGTCAATCTCCCATCTCTCTTAGAAAACTGATGAGTAAGCTTAACCTCTACGTTACGTATCCCCGGTGAAACACCGAATTGATACTGCTTTAAACATATTAAATCAGTCAGTATATATCAATTTTTGCAATGGAAGACTTACGTGCTGAAGTTCATTTTCTAGACACAAACGAAACCTTTATTTCTTTTCTTG